AATCTCCACTGTCATAAGCTAGGTATAGCTTGTTGAGAAAGAAATGAACAACTGTCTTTAATTGGTTGCATGTTAATTTAACTGTTGAAATCTATAGATATTTCTAAAATACGCATTATTGAGGAAGGAAGCCCATAGAAAGTGGTGGTTGTTGTCTCCCTCGTTCATGGCTGTGTATAATGTAATTCCTTTTTCTCACCATATCATAGGATATTGTGCATTATTAAAGCTGTCCATGATAAATTTAGAGCTTAGCTTTTGAAGTAGAAAGTAATCTCAACTGTGGGAGTTTAAATTGCAGGCGGGTTACAGGGATAAAACCATAAGAGACACAGTAGGGATGGGAGAGGGTCTGCCTGTCACCCATAGTATCTAAAAGGGTAATCCTTTGAGAATTTTTTAAGTTAAGGAAAAGAGAAAGGTTGCTTATGAGGATACACATGGGCTATATGGAACAAAAACAGACTGAGGGGTGGGCCCTCTTGAAAGTGGGAGTGAAAAGTTGGTTATTTTTTAGTAAGATAACCTTTACCATGAAGAGTTAGCTCTTTGTTTATTCATTGGACCATTCTGATAGTAACTGTGAAGTCTAAAAGAATAACTCGAATACTGGCTTTTGGAGAATTTTCATCAACTGCCTTTATTACCTTTTAAATTATTTTTTCTCTTGTGATGGTATCACTGAGAGTCAGTAAGCAGACAATAATAAACTATAAAGATAAGGGAAAAAAACAAATTTGAATGACAAGAAAGCCTAACATTTGCTGGTTAGACTTGTAAGTGTATGCATATAACAACAGCAAAGATGAGTGATACATAAAATAGATGTTAATAAAGAATAAGTATGAAGATGAGACCCGGGCGATGGTGGCCCACATCTTTAATCTCAGCACTTGGGAGGCAGAGGCAGGTGGATTTCTGTGAGTTCAAGGCCAGCCTGGTCTAGAGTGAGTTCCAGAACAGGCCCCAAAGCTACAGAGAGAAATCCTGTCTAAGAAAAAAAAAAAAAATGAAGATGAGGAATTCAGGATTTTTCTGGCCTTAACGATTGAAAAAGACCTATTAAAATAATTCATTAGTACATTTAAAATTTTTGACTTTGAGCTTTTAAGAGGCCATATAGAGATAAATTGTACTCTTTGATAGCTTAGTTTATAGCTTATCCTTTACGCTCTTTGAAAGAACACAGTTATTCTGAGAAGACAGTGACAGCTGTAACAAAAAATACTGTTGGTTTATGGTGGAGACTACCAACAATGGATAAAGATACTCCTACTCACTTTTGTGTAGTATTTACTTCTTTCATTAAGTATCTAATAGGGTTGTAGCATGGTATGTTTGAACAGAAATGTGCTCTTCAAATAGTTAAGCATTTTGAACATTTCAATAGTACGTGTTGATTTTATTAGGGGAGATAATATATGTAAGATATGTGTCTTTCAAGTTCTAATGAAATATGTCTTCTCCTTTTCAGAATTTATGCGAGTTCCGTGTGTAGATGCCGGATTGATTTCACCACTGGTACAGCTGTTAAATAGCAAAGACCAGGAAGTGCTGCTTCAAACGGGCAGGGCACTAGGAAACATATGCTACGATAGCCGTAAGTATTAAGACTGTGGTAATACTTCTATAATTTCTTAAGAATTATGATTTTCAAATCAGTTTTAGTTTGGTGTTAGGACTGACTTTTCTAGATGGACCAATAAGCTTTAGTTCTGCTTATGTAGCAGAACTGGTGGAAAATTGGGTCATCATATTCTTAACTAAGAAGTTATAGGGAGTAAATTACCCTGTTTTCACAACAGATATTTCCTAAGTATATTGCTAAAACTGAAACCTTTAAGTTCAACAAAAATCCACTTACAGATCTTTAAATTAGGTCTTATGAAGTATTATCTAAATAAAAATACTTATGGAAAATTTTAAATTTCTAAGTCTGTCCAAATAAAGTTTTAATTAATTGCCATTCATAAAAACCATCATCTCAAAAGCTAGGTCGGCCACTGCATTTGCATTGGCTCCATTCCAGTTTCTTGTTACGTCATGGCCATCCGTACCACCTTCTGGAACTCGGTTCTAGTAGAGTAAGCAAGAATTTGTGTGTCTATTTGTTGCAAACATACTGCAATTTCTACTTCTCTTCTCACACATACACAGAAAACTTCTGAGTATAAAGCTGGATGTGGTGACAAACACTTTTAATCCCAGCACTCCAGAGGCAGAGGCAGGAGGTTCATGAGTTCAAGGCCAGCCTGGGCTATATCACAAGAACTTACCTCAACGCATAACACCCCAGACTTTTAGTAAATTCCAACTAATTAGGCATGTCTTGGGTTTCCCTGGATTTTTATTTTCTGAGACAGAAACCACATACTGATTCAAATTTATACCACCTACAAATTCAGTTATATTTGTACGGCTGTGATAATTTTACCACGTTTTTCCTGTTGAGTTCATACCTCATCTGAGTTGTATTTTGCTGTGAACACTATTTGGCTGTCTCATATTATGATATGACATATATACGATGTATATATATGATATCTTTAAAAAGGTGATTTTTTAATCACATCTTTAACAGGTGATTTATATCTAGGAAGCAGATAGAGTGAGAGTATACACATATTTATGATAGAGCAAAAAGAAACTCTAATTCTTAGCTATAATTGTTCTGTGATGTTAGCCTTACTTATTCTTGTTTATTTCTCTTTACTGTGTAATAATGTCCAGGACAGTATTAATGTCAAATTTAGCTTCATTTTTCAATCCCCGACGATGCAGTAAAAGTTACATATGTTCTGCTCTGTTCTTACTTTATGTATTTTAAGATATTCACTGTATTGACAAAATGATAGTTCTTCATATCTGTAATTTTGCATGGGGAGGAGCGACCACAGAGACAGCTGACCCGAGCTATTGAGAATTTATAGACTATATGGATTGACAGCTTGGGAACCTGCATAGGACCTAACTAGACCCTCTGAATGTGGGTGACAGTTATGTGACTTGATCTGTTGGAGGGGTCCCTGGCAGTGGCGCCAGGACCTATCCCAGGTGCATGAAGTGGCTTTTTGGAGCCCATTCCCTATGGTTGAATACCTTGCTCAGCCTTAATATGGGGGGGGGGGTGTTGTTTCTACCTCAGCTTGGTATGCCAGACTTTGTTGACTATCCAAGGAAGGCCTTACTCCCTTGAGGAGTGGGTGGGAATAGGAATGGGGGATGTAGGCCAGGAGAGCAGGGGTGGGGGGAACGACTGGAGTTGGTATGTAAAATGGAAGACACATTTTTTTCAATTAACAAAAGTTACATATGTTCTGCTCTGTTCTTACTCTCTGTATCTTAAAGTATTAGCTGCATTTACAAAATGATAGTTCTTCGTATTTATAATTTTTCATCGTGTGTGCGCGTGTGTGTGTGTGTGTGTGTGTGTGTGTGGTTTTTATTCAGTATCATATATTGTGATTTCAGTGGTTTTTATTCAGTATCATAGATTGTGATCTCAGCTCTCAAAAATTATTCATTTAAATAAAAGTTCTCTGTATCAATACTTATAAAGCTAAGCTTGCACAGTGGCAGTTATAGAATGGCTGTTTGCACTTGCAAAGTGCTATGTGCTATGCTTTGTATTCTTGCTCTTTTGTGTTTTCTGAAGAATTTGAAGCTATCAAAATATTTAAATATTAGTCAGCTTATTTATTCTTGAATAATTTTTTCTCCAAACATGGGAATTATTTCCTCTTATGAGTCTTTTTGTCATGAAGTTTCACTTTGTAATGACAACATAGAAGACAGGATCTCACACCTGATTCTTCTATGGTTTTCATGGACACACAGTCATTTATTTCCTGTTACTGTAAAGAACCTTGAAGTTGGAGTGAGAAATGTCAAGATAATAAGGCTGTAATTCTATGGAACTGAAGTTCACTATGCTAGTATTTACAGTCTGCTCCTTTGTCTTATGAAATATCAAGTTTTACTGGCATGCTTCAGGCTACAACGTTAATGTTTTTCATTTATGTAGAAACATTTGTAACTACTTCATCCTTTAAGGACTTCAGTGGAGCACAGTGACTTTAAACCATAGTTTTCACTTCTCAGCATTGTCTAAGGACAATAAAGCTAGTGGTCTTAAAAAATAATAATCATAAGTGATTTAGTACTGTATATCATGTGACAAAAAGTATTTATTGTACTGTGTTGTCTAAGTGTATAACTTAAGACTACTTTCTTACTCTTTCATTTTAAACTATTATCAACTTCTTAGTGTTTTGTCCAGAACTATTAGAGTTTACACTTAAATTCCAAGATATGAAAGTATAAATTCAGCCGGGTGTTGGTGGTGCACGCCTTTAATCCCAGCACTCGGGAGGCAGAGACAGGCGGATCTCTGTGAGTTCAAGGCCAGCCTGGTCTCCAGAGTGAGTGCCAGTATAGGCTCCAAAGCTACACAGAGAAACCCTGTCTAGAAAAACAAACAACAACAACAACAACAACAAAGTATAAATTCAGTACTATTCAGTGAGTAGTATTTACTTGAAATGAATTTATCATTTATTTTGTGATAATTGGGATTTTAAGAAACCTGAAAGGCTTACCTGAAAAACACCGTAGTGGCTTCGATTTTACCTAAGCAGTATTCCCCCTTTGTCAAGAAAGTGATGCTTTGTTTTTAGAAACAGAGGACAGAAAAATATTACCAATTAGTAAATTTAAGAGATGTGCTTCTTCAAAGTACAGCCAGCATGTTTTAAAGTTCACACTTGTTCTTATCAAATTTAACATGTCAGACCGATGAGGTGAGTTGTATTAGCATGCTCCAGATGAAATCTTTTTAGTGTCGTTTTTATTCAGGGTGGTAGTAGGTGTGCAGTAGATACTAAACCCACATTTACAAGGGTTACTGTAAGCAGCTCACTATTGGCAAAAAGATTGAGAAATATGTGTGTATGTGATAGACATTTGTTAACATATCCTTAGCTAACAGTTTATTTGAACAAAAAAAAAAAAACATAAAATTCATGGAACTCTAACAAAGAAGTAGGTCAAACTTCAGTTTTAGTAACAGCCTTGTCAGTTCCCATTATAGGTATCTCCTGACAGAAGAAAATGTCCTTATATAAGCCCCACATCAGGAAACAGACTGACACATCTCCAAGCGCATAGAGTGGGGCTTTGTTGCTAATGAGCTTTTGCATTCGTCTCCCTTTTGTATACGGAGATGAAAAAGTTCGATGGCGGTGGGAACATTTCTCATTTAATATCATTGAGTTTGTTTTCTGCCCATATAACCTCCAAGGCTTTTATTTCATAATGGATTCCTCTTTCAACTCATCCAAATAGACTTTTGGTGCAAGCAACATTTTAAAATTCATGTGCCAGACTATAGTTAGCTTTGCCAGAGTAACCATTTTTGAGAAACATCTTTCAAAGAAGACAGAAAAATTGTATTTCAGTTTGGAAAGAAACCAGTAAAGCTAGATGTATGGTAGAATCTGCTCAGGAATGTTATTTTAGACAAGAAAGTAATATTATATCTCAGAAAAGTTGTCTTCTGTGCACATCCCCTTCAGGGCTGATATTTAAAACCTAAGAGTATGATTTTGTTACTTGGAATGTTTTGTAGCATTCCCTATTTTTTACTAATTCTTAAAGTTTAAATAGGGCTATAAACATTTAAATTTTCTGATATGATTGAGTTTTCCTAAAGCTCTAAAATGTCCATAGTAATTAATGTCCCATCTGCATTTGTTCTTCCCAGGGTACATTGATTATTGGAGACTTGAGTTTCTGTTTGTTAATATTGCTGCTTGAGTTTAGGAAATAGCATTTGATATGCTACTTAAAAGGTACAAGTAGGGGCTAGCAGAGAATGATTACATAAAATTAAATACTTACCCTTTATATACAGAGCAAGATTAACATATTAATCAAAATTTAAAATTATGCAAATATGCTACTTATCGTAATAAAGCATTACACGATTCTGTTATTAGAATGATACACATATTTAAGAGTCTTACATGATGTACTCTATCACTTACACAGAAAATGATAGTCCTACTTCCTGAATGAATAAAATAGTCAGAATGAGTTAGTAATCAGATTTGTCAAAGGCGGTGTTTGTGAAGTGAAGTAAATACTATTTAATCGACTTCAAGTATACAAAAGAATAGTCAAATACACACTTGTATGTTAGTGATCTTCATGTGTTACATGATTGACTGATGCATGGGTGGGGTGGGAGTGTTGCATGAACATGAATATGCAGGTGTAGACTCTGAATGTTTTTCTCTGCCTGGATCTTGATTGCCTTGAGACAGGTTCTCTTCCTGAACCAAAAATTTGCTGTTTGGCCTAGGTTTGCTAGGTAAGGAGCTGCCAGGATCCAGCTGTCTCCACCCCACAGTACCAGGGTCACAGACACCTCTAGTCATGCCCAACTTTTTACATGGGCCTCGGGGATTGGAACTCAGGTCCTCACGATTGCAGAGCAAGTGCTCTTGATTACTAGGCCACTCCCCCAGCCCCACTGTTATGTTATTTTTATATAAGGGTCAAATAAACTAGTTTTAACTGAAAATGCCAAGAAATAATAATAATAATAATAATAATAATAGCAGCTAAAAAT